TTATGAAATATCATTAGATTACTATCATTTATATATTTTTTTGTATTGTTTGTTTTTTTGTAGATTATGGTGTGTACTTGTGCAAATGTTTAATCCTGATGTTTTTTACCTGGAATAAGTTGAAAAACAGCTATGCCGATACTTCGCCTTTTTACCTGTCCTACTCTGTACTGTGTGAATAAAGCCCTGTTATTATTATTATTCTAATTTATGGTGCCAAAATCAAAGTGCTCGGCAAACTGCCGTCACCATTAACGCCAGAAATCCGGGGAAGATAACTGTGCAACGTATGTTTTGGACCTTATTTTATTTGTTGATAAGTATTGCAGGTACCGGAGCAATGAAAATCCTCATGCTTTTGTAAAAGGGCATACCCAGTACCCCCAAAAAATTAACGTACGGGCTGGCATATTTTAAGAGGATGACCCTGGGGGTAGATGGTGAAAGAGGTTGAACTAGGTTTTAGTTAAAAAACTGTTCTCATTGACAAATCTTTTGACGTATCTCGGCGTTTTTTCTTTTAAGCAGTCTTTTTCGATAAAAGCGTGATTGGAAGTTTTCAAATGAACACCCTGTATAGTTAAAGATGGCGAGGTCTGGCCACTGGCTATTCATACTTAACCAGCCTAATTGGAAAATAATCAGTCATAGGAAAAATGTTATCCAAAAGTATATCGCCTAGTTGATCTTTGTATTTTATGTTATATTAAGTGACATATAAATCCAAACACCCAGTTTAAATGGTTTTATTTTAATAAAAGTTGGTGAATGTATTTATCTTACTGTAAATAATAAGTGAAAAAATTTTCAGCCTTATCATTTGGACATTCCGGTTTTTATACTGCTTTTTTTTAATTCACTAACGCTCTAAAAATGAATATTTCAGCCGCAGTAAAGAATCAACGTTGGCGGATTTTGGTTCTTGACATCCTTTACGATCGTTTACGATGCCTAGAGTACTGAGACCTGTACGATTTCGTCAACTTAGTGAGTGAGAGGGGCCGTATAGTGGGACTTCGGGAAGCTGGACTTTCTTTTCGGGTAATTGCAGATAGAGTGCAAAGAAGTGTAGACACTGTGGTTAGGTATTGTCAGGCATGGCTTCGAGAAGGCCGTACGCAAAGAGCAAGGGGCACTGGACGCCGCCGTAGAACAACAGACCGTGAAGATCGCCGCCTAAGATTATTGGCCTTAAGGGACCGTTTCTCCACTACCAGGTCCATTGCAAATGAATGGTTTGCAGAACACGGAAGACCTATTGGCATGCGAAGTGTTTAGCGACGAATGAGAAGTTTTGGCTTGTTTTCACACCGGCCACACTGGGTCCTCCCTTTAACTCGAGAACACCGACGTAATCGCCTTGAGTGGTGCAGACAACGGTCACTCTGGAATCAGGAATGGAACAGTATTGTCTTTAGTGACGAGTCTCGATTTTGTTTAGGCATGCACGATGGTCGTGCCAGGGTTAGAAGGCGACGTGGTGAAAGGAGGAATCCACAGATTTTTGTTGAAAGACATGTTCATCACACTGTTGGAGTTATGGTTTGGGGTGCTATAGCTTATGGTTCCAGGTCACCTTTAATCTTCGTCAGAGGTAACATGAACGCGCAGCGTTATATCCACGAAGTTCTAGAACCCCATCTTTTACCCTATCTTGACACCCTGGCAGATCCAACTTTCCAACAAGATAATGCCTAACCACATGTTGCAAGAGTCACAATAGACTTCTTTCAACATAATGATGTCACATTGTTACCATGGCCACCAAGATCTCCCGACTTATCCCCAATTGAGCACGTGTGGGATATGATGGGTAGGAGATTGCTCAATTTGCAACGTCCTCCTCAGACTCTAGAAGCACTTCGAGAGGAGTTGGTGGTTGCCTGGAATGAGATACCACAGGAGGACATTGACCACCTGATCAGAAGCGTGCCTAGGCGCGTTGGAGAATGCGTAGCACATCAGGGTGCATCCACACATTATTAAAGGTCAAAGGGCTTTAAAGCAGTGCAATCATTTTGAAATTTTTATCATTTACTTATTATGCTTCATTAAGTACTTATACAAAATTTTATTAAAATAAAACCATTTAAACTGGGTGTTCGGATTTATATGTCACTTAGTATAATATATATCCATTGTTTAAATAAACTAAATTGACCTAAAGTCTTATAAATTTCTACGGCTCAAGAAGTAGGTGGTAAGTTATTGTCGAGGAAATATGAATATATCAGGTAACCAAATAAGTTTGCGGTTGTGCACGTTGCCATGGATGTTGTGGCCGCAAATTCCAGGAAAACGTGCCAAGAACTTGCAGAAATGTTCAGAAACAGTCCTGATACTATTCGTTTGCATCTTCATCAGGTAGGCAAGACGTGGAAGTTAAGCAAATAGATCCACATTGGCTGACAAATGATAACAAATTAAGTCGTCGTACCATTTGTTCAGCAAACATTTCACGCAACGCTAATGAACCATGTCTTAATCGATTATCAACCTGCGACGAAAAATGGATCTTGTATTCGAATTCTAAGCGTTCATATCATTGGTTGGCGCCTACTGATTCGGTACCACACACGCCCAAGGTTTCCTTGCATCCAAACAAGGTTTTGATGTGTGTTTGGTTGACAGCAAGTGGAATTGTCCATTATGAGTTTTTGGAAAGGGGTCAAACCATCACCGCTAACTTGTATTGTGAGCAACTTCAACGAGTACAAACAGCATTCATCCAGAAACAGCGTTCTTTGATCAATCGGAAGACAGTAATATTCTTGCAGGATAACGCCAAGCCTCATACCGCAAAAGTGACCCGAGAAAAAATTTCTAAACTCGGCTGGGAAACGTTACCGAAACCGCCATGTTATCCCGACTTTTCTCCCAGTGATTATCACCTTTTTTGTCTCTTGACAACTGTATGAGGCACCGACAGTTCACAACTCGAGATGGTGTAATAAATGCAGTCCGCCAATTTTTTGACTCCAAATCCAGAGAGTTCTACAATACCGGCATTCAAAAATTCGTTCCACGTTGGCAAAAGGTCATTGAATGTGATGGTAATTACTTCGACGAATAAATAGTGTCTTATTGTTCCTCAACCAAAATTTATACTCGTATATTTGTACTAAAAACCGCACGAACTTATTTGGTTACCTAACACATTAATTCATGGTTTCATTAATACCTATATACGATTGTTCTTGTATCCACGTGGCTGTTACAATACAACAAACTCCTCAATGTCACAAATTCCTGTTCATGGATTGCCTATAACTAGCAACAGCCTAAGCACGTGGGAATCAAGTTATATGATAAACTACCAGACACTTCTCTAAACAAGTTGACAACTTCCTCAGGAGAACCGATTTACTGGGAGAAATATAAATATACTAAGTGACATATAAATCCGAACACCCAGTTTGAATGGTTTTATTTTAATAACATTTTGTATAAGTACTTAATGAAGCATAATAAGTAAATGATAAAAATTTCAAAATGATTGCACTGCTTTAAAGCCCTTTGACCTTTAATAATGTGTGGATGCACCCTGATGTGCTACGCATTCTCCAACGCGCCTAGGCATGCTTCTGATCAGGTGGTCAATTCCTCCTGTGGTATCTCATTCCAGGCAACCACCAACTCCTCTCGAAGTGCTTCTAGAGTCTGAGGAGGACGTTGCAAATTGAGCAATCTCCTACCCATCATATCCCACACGTGCTCAATTGGGGATAAGTCGGGAGATCTTGGTGGCCATGGTAACAATGTGACATCATTATGTTGAAAGAAGTCTATTGTGACTCTTCCAACATGTGGTCGCACATTATCTTGTTGGAAAGTTGGATCTGCCAGGGTGTCAAGATAGGATAAAAGTGGGGGTTCTAGAACTTCGTGGATATAACGCTGCGCGTTCATGTTACCTCTGATGAAGATTAAAGGTGACCTGGAACCATAAGCTATAGCACCCCAAACCATAACTCCAACAGTGTAATGAACATATCTTTCAACAAAAAACTGTGGATTCCTCCTTTCACCACGTCGCCTTCTAACCCTGGCACGACCATCGTGCATGCCTAAACAAAATCGAGACTCGTCACTAAAGACAATACTGTTCCATTCCTGATCCCAGAGTGACCGTTGTCTGCACCACTCAAGGCGATTACGTCGGTGTTCTCGAGTTAAAGGGAGGACCCAGTGTGGCCGGTATGAAAACAAGCCAAAACTTCTCATTCGTCGGTAAACACTTCGCATGCAATAGGTCTTCCGTGTTCTGCAAACCATTCATTTGCAATGGACCTGGTAGTGGAGAAACGGTCCCTTAAGGCCAATAATCGGCGGCGATCTTCACGGTCTGTTGTTCTACGGCGGCGTCCAGTGACCCTTGTTCTTTGCGTACGGCCTTCTCGAAGCCATGCCTGACAACACCTAACCACAGTGTCTACACTTCTTTGCACACTAACTGCAATTGCCCGAAAAGAAAGTCCAGCTTCCCGAAGTCTGGCTATACGGCCCCTATCAAACTCACTAAGTTGACGAAATCGTACAGGTCTCCGTACTCTAGGCATCGTAATCGATCGTAAAGGATGTCAAGAACCAAAATCCGCCAACGTTGATTCTTTACTGCGGCTGAAATATTCATTTTTAGAGCGTTAGTGAATTGAAAAAAGCAGTATAAAAACCGGAATGTCCGACTGATAAGGCTGAAAATTTTTTCACTTGTTATTTACAGTAAGATAAATACATTCACCAACTTTTATTAAAATAAAACCATTTAAACTGGGTGTTCGGATTTATATGTCAATTAGTATATGTGTGAGCGAGCCACAATAAACCGTGAGTCGTAGTGGAGGATCGTGATTGACCTACTCTCAAAAAAAAAATAACCTAAGCTGACTGTCGATCAGTATGCTAACAAGAAATAAATAGTTTTTCCCAAAAATTCTATGACAGTTCTGATAGTTTTGATTAATGCGTATCGTTTATCTATCGTGATCTTGCCGTTAATCTCATTTATCCTCCAGGTGGTAGTGAAGTTCTTTCAACCTTCGATAGTCCAGTGTCTCCTGGAGCCATGGTTCCGGGAAATGGGCTTTGTGATATGTTATGGAGCCATCATCCTCAAATTGTACAGGCATCTCATCGAGTTTAGGACGAGAAAAGCGCATCGGTGGGTGGTGAAGGACACCGATCTGTTGAAGTATTTACTGATCATGATAGCCTCAGTAAGTAATATATTTATTTGTTTTATGACAGGATATTGATATTAGTGCCTTTTTCGGTATTTACACTTTGCTTTTCTATATACTAGGTCTGTGAATTAAGCGATGAGACTGATTTTTTTCAATCAAATATAGTTATGCGATACTGGAATAACCTCCAGTTAATCGGTTACAGCCGGTTGAATGTTTTCGACTGTCCTTGGGATAATTTTTCAACTTCAGGAAGATAATAAATAAATCAAGAATCTCCCGAAGAACGATTTCAACTCTTTCTGAGGTGAAAACAGATGCGTGAAAAGTTAGAGGAAACTTCTTGCAACTTAGGTATTGATCTTTTTTGTGAGAAGAATAGATTTGACTAGGTATTAACTACTTTCAAGTTACTTGACTTAACTTGAAATCAGGTCAAGTCATTCCCAAGTCACAATTAGCAATGTAAATCAAATAGTTTTGGCACCGAGTCTTGATATTACTTGTGTAGTGTAAATACGATTAAATACTTCGTGCGTCCAGAACTGACCGATACGACCGCTCCTTTGTTCAGAGGGTGTCGAGATTGTGGAACAATTTGCAAGAGAAGGCTTTTCCCAGTTCTACTAACCTTAGGCAGTTCAAAAATCGGATCAACAAAAATTCTCGTTACAGGGAAAACAAAAAATATAAAGCAAAATATTTAGCTCATCGTATAATGAATAAAAGAAGTATAGAAATAAAGAAACATTTCTTCATCAGCTGATACGAAAAAACTAAAAATTCTGAATGACGCGTGATGTTCCTAACGGACTTATAGCTTAATCTACTGCGCGATTCCGTAATGGTCAGTACAGACCTAGAAAATTCCGTTTCAATGTTACAGATGTCGATAAAGAATCTCTTGCCATTTAAACTAGATCTGGGAATACATTTTAAAATACATTTTACTGCCTTTCATACCACTTAAGGTTATTTTCACTAAAATACAAAATACAGTTCATCCGTTGTACGAATAATAATCACTAAAAGCTTTGGTAGAAAATATAATTTGCAATCAAGTTCCAAGTAGTTTGAAAATGCTTGATCTCAAATCAAGTAGTCAAGTTGATGAAGGTAGACATAAAAATCATTTTACTGGGAGAATAACTCATTAAAAACAATGAATAACAATGGTGGAACTTACAAGTTATGGCTTGGAGGGATTAGCGGTTTTGCACCCTATTTTTTCAAATTTGCAATATTCGATAAAAGCACATACAAATAAACTATAACTTTATGCTATGCTTCAGGTTATATTTTTGAATAAAAATATCTAAAATAAAAAATGCCAGGCTGAGCACCTTAAGATTTTTTTAATTCAAAATTTTGTTTTTTTTCATCTAAAAGAACAGAAAATTTTCTGTACCCAACGCTATGCTTCATATCCCACTACGATACTTTTCAATTCGATAAAATCCCAGTTGCAAATATGGCTTCTCTTTCTAAGTCCGTAACTGTCAGAAAAAAAATCGTATTGTTTCTTTTACACATACTAGATGTAAAAACATGCCCAATATAAACAAATTTTTTTGGTTGTCCGCTTTACGTGAAATGCCCCTATCTAATGGGTGATTTTTTTGCTAGTATCTTTTTGGCAACACTCTTTTTGACAGATGGCGCGTGAATCGTGTCTTGTGTCATTGTCAAACTTATTCAGTTTGGTCTATAATTTAACCATGAATCGACTTACGAACGAACAACGCTTGCAAATTATTGAATTTTACTATCAAAATTCATGCTCGGTTAAGAGAGTGCATCGAGCACTGCTTCCAATTTATGGGCAATTTGGTCGGCTTACTGAGGGAGCTATTCAGAAGCATGTGACTAAATTTCGAACCCAGTTTACATTATTGGACATTAAACCACCAAGACGCAGACGTAGAGTGAGGACTGAAGAAAATATTGCGGCTGTATCCGGCAGTGTTAGTGATAACAGTGAACTGTCGATTGGGCCTCTGTTACTCCACTACGTGGAAAATTTTGCGACAGGATTGGGGTGTAAAACCTTATAAGATACAGCTGGTGCAAGAATTGAAGCCACACGACCTCCCACAACGTGTCCAATTTGGTGAATGGGCGCTGGCAAAGTTGGAGGAAGATTTTGATCGAAAAATTGTGTTCAGCGACGAAGCTCATTTCTGGTTGAATGAGTACGTTAACAAGCAAAATTGCCGCATCTGGAGTGAAGACCAGCCAGAAGCATTGCAAGAGCTACCAACGCATCCCGAAAAAATCACTGTTTGGTGTGGATTATGGGCCGGTGGCATCATGGGGCCGTACTTTTTCAAAGACGACAATGGCCGGAACGTAACTGTGAATAGCGCGCTACCGTGCGATGATAACAAACTTTTTTTTGCCCAAAATGGAAGAGCTGGACTTGGCTGACATGTGGTTTCAACAAGACGGTGCCACATGCCACACCGCACACGAAACAATGGCCCTATTGAGAGGCGAGTTCGGTGAACAGTTTATCTCACGTTTGGGGCCCGTCAATTGGCCGCCTAGATCGTGTGATTTAACGCCGTTGGACTATTTTTTGTGGGGCCATGTTAAGGCTAATGTCTACAGGGATCAACCAGCAACGATTGACGCACTGGAAGCCAATATTGAAGCATTTATTCGTGAGATACCAGCCGATATGATGGAGAGAGTGTGCCAAAATTGGACCTTGCGCATGGGCCATCTAAAGCGGAGCCGCGGCCAACATTTACATGAAATAATCTGTAAACATTAAATTATATCGACCGTTCTATCGGCTCAAATAAAGATTTAATCGTTTTTTCAAATTTTTTGTGTTTTTTTTTGAAAATCAAATCCTATATCTCTTAAAAAATCACCCGTTATGTTAGACATTCAAGAACATACATGGATGGAAAAGATAATATACTATTTGCAATAACAGATTGCCTACAATCATCTTTATATTCTGCACTGCAATGAAAAAACTTTAGTTGTTTCTGAAACATATCCCCAAACAAAAACAGCATAACTTAGTGTGGAATGACACAGGGCAAAGTATGCCCTCTTCACATTATGAGATACTGTCTCTTTCAAATTTCTCAATCGAAATAATAATATATTATAATAAATAGCGTTTATTGCCGAAACCATTTACAGGACAATCCTAAAATAAAACAGGCTAACAAAAATAGAAAATATACAACAAGCAGGTGATTCCATCTAAAGGAGAAAACCAACAAGCAAAAGAAGCAAAAAAACATATTTCACTGAAGTGCGAAACATAAATTATAAAGTAATTTCTAGCTACTTTCAGAATGCTGCTCAAACTGTCACAACATTCCAAATAAACTCATAAAGTCTTATCTTTCTGGACGTGAACAAATCACAAATGTCTCGGGTCAGGAAAGTAATATTTTGAAGGTAGAATGCGGGGTGCCACAAGGTACGGTTCTCTCAACTTTGCTGTTTATAATATACATAAATGATATAATGGAACAATTAAATGATGCAAACATAACTATCTATTGCTTTGCAGATGATACGAGTATTTTAGTAAGTGGTGAAGATTGGGATTCCGTCAAATTAAAAGCTGAAAGAGCATTGCACACAATTAAAAATTGGCTAGATTTTAGTTTGCTCTCTCTAAATATTGAGAAAATCAATTTTATGACTTGTTCCCTTTCCTCGCGTACTTTGCCTAATCTAAACTGCATTAAGATTCATGACTCATATTGTGACTTTGCACCTCAGTGTGCATGTAGCAAATATATAAATAAGAAACCGAGCTTGAAATATCTAGGAATAATTATAGATGAACTTCTTACTTGGAAAGATCATGTTGAGTATGTTACAACAAAGATTAGAAAACTTATTCACAAATTTTATGAATTAAGGGAAATATTAGACTTCAGAACTCTTAAAACAGTTTATTTTGCTTTAACAGAATCTGTAATTAATTATGGTTTCGTAGTTTGGGGAAATACAAGCTTAGCAACGTTATCCAAGTTACAGGTAGCTCAGAAATGGATCATAAAAATTATGCTTTTCAAACAGAAACGATATTCATCTGAACTTGTTTTTAGAGACAGTAAAATACTGAACCTAGAGCAGCTCTATTTAAAATCACTTATAAGATTTATGATGAAATATGATTTCTACAAAGAATACTTACAGCATGGCCAAAATACAAGAAGTGCTGCTCATGCAAAAGTAAAATTGCAAAACCCTAGACACACAGCTTGCCAGAGTCACGTTTACTGTATAGGTCCAAAAGTTTATAATGATGTGCCAAATAGTATTAAGAGATTGAGATATTCTACTGTTAAAAAGGAATTAACAAGATGGATTATTGATAGTCAATACGCCATTAATTATGTAATATAAAAACCTGTAGCATTAAAGGTATTAAGTTCCTAAAATTTAAGATAAAACATAATAGCTTTGAATTTGTTTGATCTATTTTTATATTTCTTTTTCTCTTTGTAAACTAGAATTAAGAACCTCAATGAAAAAGTTACACTTAACAATGTGAATGGGGTGCACACACAGTATTTTGAATACAATTGTGCATCTAAAACTATTAGCAATAGTGGGTAATTTTAAGAATAGATAGCTGGATTTAAATATTATACAATAATTGTAAAGTCTATATATTTAATATGATGTAAAAAACTGTATACATGTTGAATCTGCTGCTAATAAATAAATAAAAAAAATAGATGTGACATTGAGTATTCCTAAAAGAAAGGATATCCTTGTACAAATTTTGAAGGAAATATATCCTTCAAAGCAGTGACAAAAGTAAAAAGATATTCATAATCTTCACCTTATACTTGGCATAGGAAGCATATCCTTCAAATATTCTGAGTGTGGTTAGTAGCAGACTCAACTTCGTAACGAAAAGTGTTCAAACGATGATCACGGAAATTGTGGATGTTAGGGATGTTAAAACGTACAAACCTCGTTTACCTTTACTTGGTCGTGACTTCAAAAAATTATATCGGTTTGACGAAGCGAATGTGTACTAAGTG